CCACTCCCAGACGTGTGGACACTAACTTTCACACTTTTAAGGATTGGTATAAATACCTGTAGGCCACCATTGTTCTCGAGTTCGCTGGTGGAGACAACAAACGGGCACTAGGGATGGTCAAAAGGACTGACCTGGGGCCTGTTGGCTGCTGAGACCAGCGGCTCCTCAGCTGAGATGTTCTTTTTACCACAACACCATCCCCTTTATTAAATACATTTGATTTTAACCTTTCGATCTGTGATGCCTTTTGTCCGTCCGGCGCTTCTTCATTTTTGAACACAACACTGGTGAGAATAAAACACAGCGCACGCACACATCAACGCTCGTGCGGGAACCGTTTGTGTTCTGATTGGAGGAGTTTGCAGGAGATTAGAAGTGAGAGAAGTGTCTCGTGATGGACAGACCAGTAATGATTTTCCGTGCTTTCAATGTGCAGATTAAAAAGGCGTTTAATCAGCAATCACTTCACAGGAACGGCTGAGTAGTCAACAATAAAAGACCGTGATTACAGTACTAAGCAGCATTCTGCTTGTAATCAGGCATTTTTACTCTTCCATAGTTAGACAGGACACAACTGCAGTGCAGTGAAGTGCACAGTGCTGAGGAAACATTGGGAAATGAAGACCAAAGTAAATATATACAACTGCTTTTGCCCACAACACAGACTGAAGACCAGCAACAGTCCCAGAAGCCTCAGAACCAGCTCAAGCTTTATGAGTCCTGTGGGGTCAAACCCATTGAGGCCGGCTTCAGTGGAAATCACTCCAAGGCTGCTCAGGGGACCGAAAACACAAACTTTGTGAACTCCTGTATGATGCATCTTAATCTTTGAAAGGCACATTTCTCTTTTATATTCTGGGTGTATTTAAAATAAGAATATGATGTCATGATTGAATATGATAAGCCAGCTGCTTGGGTGTGGTTACTCCTCGGGGAGGGGGTGGGGACATAATTAACAATCTCTGGTCTGACCAGCTATTGGTTTACAGCCTGGTAGCAAGATTTCTGGTCCATTTACCCACAATGTTTTTCTTGTATTTATGCAGTTTATGTATTAGTACACTATCTGGTATAGAAACATGCAGTAACATTCAGGTGTGCATTTTGTGTAAAAGAGGTTTCACTTGTCGGTTCTCGTTTTTGTCTTATCGTTGTCACGGCGTCGTTGTCATGGCGTCGTGATAACAGCGTGACCGCCTGGAGTCTGTGTATGCAAAGCGCTGCTTTGCAACTTTAGCTAATCAGCGGCAACTGGATGGAAATGGTATTCTCTTCAATGAAAACAAAGGGAAGAACTGAGTCAAGACTGGAACAGAGATTAAACACGTGAAGTGCCTCCAAAATACTATGCTTTTCTCTTACATTGCATGGGATCTCTGATGTTGGGTCAGAAGGTGACAAAACAAATGGTTCTGGTCAATCACAGCCCTTTCAATCTGTCTTTTACCGCCGGATCCAAGGGTTGGGAACACACACACACACACACACACACACACACACTCATAAAGAGTAGTCCCCACGAACAAAACTCAATGTTGTCCTCTCCCGGCTCGCCTACAGGAGTCATTCAGTCCAAAAGGTAATGTTGAGATACTGTTAACCCTCGTCAGCATTCGCTGCAGGTTGCGCGACTGTTACACCCCCTGCTGGCCATTCAAGGCTCCTGCCGGTTTAGGCTGTGAGGTGAATCTCTGATTGGGGCCGTGGTCCATGGATATAGCCAGGAGGAGGATTATCGTGATGAAACCCATCAAAATCAATGCTAGGTCAAAGTTCCTTAAAGTAGCTTGACCTTAAACTTTACTTTATTACACACAGGTAAAGAACTGAAATGTACCCTAATCAATGAGCACATTCCTCAAAGTAAATACATGGAATTAACCATATAAACCAACACAAGTCCTTTAAAACTTTGAGTGTCTATAACAGTTGTGCTGCCTAACGGCCCACGCGGTCTTCCTTGACCAACTACAAAATAATTCCATCTAAATATGTTGCAGCACAATGTCACTGAAACAGCTATCCATAGTAAACAGTGTGGGGTTCATTGATCACTGGAAGACGTTTTGGGGACGCCTGGTCTGATTAGGAGTGACCGTATCCATCCCACTTCGGATGGCGCGGATCTCATTTCAACAAGTCTGAGCCAGTTTCTTAGTGGACCAAATCCATGACCCAGAGTTCAGACCAGGAAGCAGAGAGGATCCGGGCAGCTACCCACCCAAACAGTAATAAACCCTAGAGACAAAATACCAGACCAACCGTGCAGCAAAATACACAGTAATAGACAGTTAAAGGTGATACTTTAAACATTGGATCTGTCATCTAAAGCGGTTTTATTAAATTAATTAATATCAGATCACCACGTTGATCCATTTAGTCTTACTGAAACCTGGCTGTTGGATGGAGAATATATCAACTTTAATGAAGCGACACCTCCGTCATGTTAATACTCAAATATTCCGGGATTTTAATATTCATGTGGATGTCGACAACGATGGCCTTGGTACTGCGTTTATCTCATCTTTGGTTTAATTGGTTTCCGTCAGTGTAGAGAATCATATGCTTTGTTTTAATCACACCCTCAACCTGGTTCTGGTGTCTGGTATTTGGATAGAACATTTAACACAGAACCCTGTCTTGTTGGACAAGTGTCTAATAACCTTTGATTTACCGGAATCTGCTCCTCTTGGCGAGGGTTTCTACAGTCGATGCTTTCCCCTTTAATTTGCAGGCTTGGCTGTATTATACCAAGGAGCAAGTTAGCATTATCATCAGTAGTCATCTGATATCTTCAGACGCGATACTGAACTTCCAGCAGAAGGAATTCCCTCTTTAGGCGAACTGCGGAAAACTTCAATGTTTATGGCGTACCACCAATTTAGAAGAATCTAGTTTTGTTTGGCGAAAACAACTTTAAAGAATATAAGCAGGTCAACCTATTATTCATAATGAATAGAGAAAAAACAATCAACTGTCTCAGAAGAAAAACACGGTGACCCCCGAATCTGTAACATTGTACAGGCGGCCTCATTAAAACATACTATTTGAAATACATTAAAAGTGTGGGCTGCCGTTGTTTAAGCCCCTTCATCAAAACTGGTCACAAATTGGCCACCCCCTGCAAGAATATATTCTTATGCAGTCCATCTCTTCTCTCATCAGGTAAAGATAATGGGAAGATATTAACAAGGGAAATAACCTGTCAGGGTGCAGGGAGATGGTAGGACTCAAAATGCAGACTTCAAAGCCAAAACGGGCCAAGGGGCAAAAATGCAGACGGGAACCAGGAACATCCCAAACATTAAACAAGTGATAAGAGACACACACGGCTTAAATACACTAGGGAGGTGCAGGTGATTGGACACAGGTGGAAACAATCAGACAATCACAGGGGATGAGAGGACAAGGCAGGAAGTGAAGTTACCCAGGGCGACAAGAGGGCTGTCGTGGCACAGGGGTTAGAGAAGTTGTGCAACCACAAGGTTGGTGGTTCGTTTCCAGGCTGCCCCGTGTTTCATGTCGAAGTGTTCCTGAGCAAGACACCTAACCCCTAATTGCTCCCCGGGCAAAAATGTGAAAAAGCGACGGGTTTAAAGTGTAATGTAAGTCGCTTTGGATAAAAGCGTCTGCTAAATGACATGTAATGTAATGTAAAAGAGGCAAGAAACTACAAAATAAAACGGGACATGAACCGAAACCGTGACATAACCAGATTGAAGAGGACAATTAAAGCTTTCAAACATGATATTTTCAAAGGAGCACTGGTTTCGCTGACAATGGAAGTGATTCATTGCATTTTATCATTGTGCAAAAAGCAAATTAAAGTGTTAAAATCAATGGAAAATAGTCAGGGTTGGCAGTGAAGCAAGCTTTGACCAATTGATCCTGGGACGGTTGCAGTAAAGAGAGTGCTGCAGTCTGGCTCTCACACGCAGACCTCCAGCTTCTTGAAATAATGTCTTAAACATTGTAATATATGTGCGATGGATTTCCCATCGCTTGCCCTGTTTCTAGTTGGACTACCCTGGTTTCACAGTGAAAGAGGTGCACGCCATTCTCGCAGGATAAGACCAAAATACTTTTTGTGGCCCCTCCAGGAGGCTCTGCGGGGCCGCGGTTTGGCAGGTGGATCATCTACAGGCGCCCTCCGATACATACGCAAACGATTTTAACTGAAGCCTCTAAGTTGGAATGGTTTCATGATGCTCCAGCTGAATGTGTTGACAAATGATTTGTTCAATGCCTGAGCTCCAATGTCATTGGAGACATTTATTTGCGCAGAATAATTATTTCCGTTTGTCACATTTGTGTTGGTAAATACTGAACGATAAAAACCTGCTGAGGACACCTGTCTAATGCCTGTCATTGTACACTCCGTCCACATGGGGGCAGTCATGTCAAGGGAGTTCACCAAATCTAGTGCCTCGGGGATTGAATCCATGACACATCATTATCTTTATTCATTTTTTGTGTCTTGTTAAAGTGTCAACTTCCCACATGAAGTTAATTTTTTCAAAGCGCTCTTGTGTTGGACAATAGGCACACGGCAGGCATGACTAAACGCTCTGCTGAAAGGGCACGAGCTGGAGGCGCTCATTACCAAAGGTTAGATATGTCACCCCCCCCCCCCCCGCCCCCCTCACACCACACTCACACACACACACACACACACACCTAAAACTATAATGAGGAGCTGAACTGACAGTTCAATAGACACTCCTCTTATGACCCACAGGACACACACTGAGAGGTCTCTGAGAGGTATTTTCCTTTATACTTTATATAAATATGAGATAATATTCAATATGAGAAAGAATAAATAGCAGTTTGTGTTTCAAAGTCACTATAAATTCTCCAACCATGAAAATATAATGACTATTGCTCGTTATAATATCAATATCGGAGGCAGGAGGGAACTATGAGTGGGTGTGTTGTTGAGTTGGGTGCTGTGATGTAACTGGGGAGCTTGTTGGGGGGGGGGGGGCTGCACCCCCCCCCCCATAGAGCGCAGCATGAGCGCTCCGCAGCAAAAAGGATGTGTGAGCAGGCAGCGCGCTACTGTAGGGACGGAGTCCACAAACTGCTCAACAAAGAACAAGCCAAACTTCGAGCGCAGGAAAGCCGCGAGCAGCCGAACCCCGTAGCCGGTCAGGACAGCGAGTCCGCGACGGCAGCGCAGTCCGGAAACAGCGGAGCCCAGCCCGGTGGAATCGACGGGCTCGTCCGCTGGATCGTCACCAAAATGAGCGACAACAAGAACATCTCCAGCCGGGAGTACGCCTCCAGCAAGGAGGACGTGGCCGTGGCTCAGGAGCAGTTCTTCGCCCCCGAGCCGCGGAGAGGCATTTCCGTGATTTTGGATGTGAGTATCGGGAGGCTGCGGTCAGCCTCGCGGGGTTAGATGGGAGGGTGTCGCGGGGGGCGATGGAGGCGTCCGGCGAGCAGCGCGTAAGGGCACCGGTGCTGTGCGCACTTACGCACCGGTCCAAAACAAAAATGTTGCATACGTTAAACCAATCCGCCCTTAAACTTGGCCCGAAGTCGGCGCTCCTTTTCCCACGCAGAAGTCATCGTAAATCCAGAACAGCGCAGCGCATCGCTGCTTTAGGTCCTAGTTTGCTGTGAAGAAAGTCCGACGCGCATCTCACCGCTCAGCGAAAGGACAAAAAAAAGCAGCATCACAGAATCCTCGGTTTTTTAATTATTCATGATAACTTCTCACTGTGATATATATGTTTTATATCGAGTTGTAACAGGACCCCGACCTTGTTTTAGTCGGCGGATAGATCTCCAAAGGTGCAGCCTTTCTGTGTGAGAAGTTACGCAGCGCGCCATGTCGATCTGGGTCACCTCGCGCATATGGTTATTTTTCCCCCACCGCCCAGTTTCATCTGCTCTATGGAGATTGAATTGATTTCTCTTTTAATGATTTAATGATGTAGTAGTAATTGGAGTAGGACCACGGCCGGAATAGTTTGACAAAGAAGGGCTACAGAGGAAAGTCATTAATAACCACAGGGCCAATGCATCCTAGTAACCGAATAAATGCAGAGCGTGTAAAGGGGTTGTGTGTGTGGGTGGGGGTGTGTGTGTGTGGGGGGGGGGGTAACCTAGTTTCCTCTTATACCTCCCCAGAGGCGGACGCAAAACACAAGGGCTCCCTAATGTTTAAGTCGGGATCCAAAATGGCTCTTTGACCTGCTTCCGATGTGTGACCCATGTTTTTTCTTCTGGTCTTGCTCAGTTCTACCATGGAAGTGTTTTGGTCACAGGCAGGGGGGAGATGGAAGACTTATTTTTAATTAAAACAACAATGTCAAACAATAAACACACACGTTTAAGGACAATTTGTAAATGAAACAATTAACGGGAGATTATTCTTAGAATTAACCTCAAACTCGTTGTTTTCCACTGGGTTACATTTTCACTGAAGCATTCGGTGTGACATTTGAAGCTAAACACCCACTGACACCCCACGTTTGTGGCATTTCCTCTCCGGCACACTTCCTGCTTTAAACTTTGAAATTGAAATTTCTTCTCTGATATTAGTAACCCCAGCATTATTATCACTTGGAGAAATCCACACCAAAGGGATTAAATGATCGCTGCAGGTGTGTGTGTGTGTGTGTGTGTGTGTGTGTGTGTGTGTGTGTGTGTGTGTGAGTGTGTGCCTCCGGGCAGCATCCTGCTCATTAGACCCTCTCGACTTGCTTGTTTCTAATCACACCCTCCTTCTTTTTTTTTAGACCATACCCCTTTTTTTCCTTTTTTTAAACTCTTTTCCCCCCCCCCCCCCCCCCCACCTCCCCTCCCCCTCTCCTCTCCTCCGTTCCCGCCTTGCCTCCTTTTCTTCTCGGGGATCACATCTTCCTCCACTCCTCAACCAGGCCAAGAAAACATCCATTCTTAATAAGGTTAGGAGATGGATGCAACAATCTCCCTCCCTCTGTCACTGTTTGCTGCCTCTCTCTCTCTCTCTCTCTCTCTCTCTCTCTCTCTCTCTCTCTCTCTCTCTCAGACACACACACACACACACACACACACACAGCCTCCTCGCAACGCAACATTTCCCTCCTCTCCGAGCTTGTCTGTCTCCAGCAGCTCCAGACTTGGCTGTTTTCCTTGAGTAGACCCTCCGGTGCAGCAGGGGAGCCGACGACTTCGGCGTACCGTCAGCGCTGGCGGCCGTACCGAATTGTGTACAGTGCTGCTTTAAGGGTCAAACTGTAAATTATGGAAATCATTAATCTCAGTCTAGCTTGATGTGAGAGTCAGAGATTGTTAGTTTAAACAGCAATAACCAACTTTGCCAATTTTGCATTGAGACAATAATATTTATTGATAATAATATTAAGTGTTGCATGTTTTTATATTCTGGAGACTACATACAGGTGGGATGAAGGTTTTAAACCAACCAGAAGCTTTCTTCAAACTCCTCCTCCATCTTTTTTCTACACATACTGTCATTCTCCCTCATGCATTCCTCCGAAGAAGGCTGTTGGGCCGAAACGTTAGGAACCCTCTGATTGCTGCACTGACTTTTATTTTATGAACCATCTTTTAAAATGAGTTATGAAATGAATGATTTTTAAAAGATAATTCAAAGCAAATGTGCCAGTATGCTGTGAAATTGAATGATCCTTCAACCGTACATTTCTACAACATACAGGAAAAGATTAATTGCAAATAAACAGCAGTACTACTGTGGGGAAATCCTTCCTCCCCTTTCCTTTATCGTTCTTTTATTGTTGAATGTCCCTGAAAAAAGCTCAAACTAAATAAAAAAACATAAGAATGAAAACATACTTGATTCCCTTTTGCCTGAGAACAAGGCATCCAGAAGACCTGCTCAGCATGCATCTCTGCAGCACTGCATTGGGGCTTCCAGGAATGGAAGCAACCTTGGACCAAGAAACCTACAAATCGAACCCGTTAAACATATTTTTTATATCCTAGAAATTTTCTCATTTTATATAATGGGAAGTTGCTTCAAAACCAATCCTAAACTTACTTCCTTGAACCTAAGCCCAACCCAATGTGGTTCATCTCCATCCTTCCCCCAGCCCAAGACCTAACCCCCATCCTGACTCCCACCTCCCACCTTAAAGTGACAGACAACTGCTCAGACGGAGGCTAGAGTACAAAAAAAGTCAAAGTGGAATTGAATTGAGCATTTTCCGCAATATTCTAAGCCTCCAACGGCTCATGATAACACATCGTCAACAACTTACCTTAAATACTTACCATGGTTTCAGCAACCTGATAAGAAGAAGGAAAATCTCAATTTCAAAATGAATGAACCTTATTTAAAAGGTGTTTTGTCTGTAAAACAAGCCGTATTATGTCTAAATCAGATTCTCGCCAAGATGGATTCGTGGAACAAATCACTAGAAACACAGAGTGACTCCATGCATCACCCTCCTGCCCCCATCTCTCTGTCGCTGTGCTGTTGCCGGCAGTAGACAATAGAAACAGTGAACAAAGTACTCTGGAACCGGCATGAAAGTAGGAGACTTGCAACTTTCAAATCCACAGGAAAAGAGGATGTTCCACCCAAGCTGTAAATTAGCGCGTGTTCCTGCGCGGACGCCATGTGGTGCGCGCCTCCACGACGGGTAATCGTGACTCTGTTGGCTGATCAGCAGCTTAGATTCGTGTACATAATTGTTTTATACGCCGATTCGACAACTTAATCCTTATGCTACTGTCCTTAATACGGAATTCCACTATGTGATAGAGAGCATGGGGGATGGATCCATCCAACAATGAAAACTGGCAGACTGGTATGCCTCTGGTGGCATCATCTGCTCTCTGGGTTCCAGTGGTCCCAGGTTTTGAACCCTGGACGAATTGTCTGACAAATACCGGCCCAGTTTACATAGTTGCAGGTGTAACCTTAGAAAAACCATGGAGGCAATTTGCAGTAGAGCCAGCAAAATAGGTTGTAAACTATGGGTCGCCATTGACAAAGATGTGCACACCCTTTGTTCAGCTATAGATAAAGCGATAAATACTGCCCTCCTGTTAAGGCTCTCTTATTCTACACTCTTCCTGTTCATACGTCCTTCAGCTGCCGGCCGATACCTCCAATGACACTGATTGCACCTTCTTGCTTTCTATTCACAGATATTCAGAAGAGCTGACAAAGATGGTGAGTGAATTAATTATGTTCGTATAATATGATTGTTACTGTTTAGGGTTTGTCAACATTGATTTTCTCATGGGAGGACTTCAAGTGGTTTATGTCCCACTTGATCTTCCGCCCCTTCTTCATGTCTATTTTGATGGAGATTTGGATGTAGATTGAAAAAAATCCCAATGCTTTCTTCTTGGAGGCGTCCTTACTATTCACACAGGGATGCCTCATATAAAAACAATACTGGCTGCATTCGACTCTGTTGTGATGAGTTGGCCCAGTGCTTCTCCAGCAGTTGACAAGTCCAAATGTCTGCTTTAACAAAAGGTTTTCACTAAAAGCCTTGTTGGACTTGGCAGATGCTCTCTAATTGTTCAGTACAGTTTTTTACCATTTGCACCTCCAGTTTTTGCTTCCCAGGGAAAACATTCACATCTAACAAAACAACTTGTTTGGCAATAATTTGGGCCCAGACAGGTGATGGTGTTTCAGCAGAGACCCGTGGTTTACGGTCTTTGAAGCCTTTTGAAAACTAGTGAGCGTTCATTGCTGTGTGTCTGCTGCATTGTACTATATTTTGGGCATTTTGTCCTTATCTTTCAAAAGGGGCAAGTTTAGATCACTGTGTTGCTTTGCCAATGAGTGATTTGTTTATACTCGTTGGCATTGCACAAACTGCTACTCTCTCTCTCTTTCTGCTCCCTTTTACATGTTCCTCTTTCCTCTCACTCATCCTTTCCCTCCTCTCCTGCTTTCCTCCCCCATCACTGTCGTTGACTAAAAATAATTTAACTAATGAGGAAACGGGATGAAAAGCTGTGTTTTCATAGCAGCCAGATGGTCATTTGCTCTTCTAGTGCTTCCGCTTGTGTGTGTGTGTGTGTGTGTGTTTTTCTTTCGTCTTTGGCGCCTCTTAAGTTCTGTTTGGAAAAAATGTATTCAAGGAGAGCATATACCGAACATTAATGCATGTTGATTTAATGCTGATTTTATTAAGATGTGGCAATTCTGCTGGAGGTCAGACTGTAGTTTTCATTTTCAACCAAAACTGTTTTGGTTCCATCTGTACCGAAACTGAAACAGCAACCCTAAAAAAAAGTTCTTTGGCGAAGGATGAAAAACTTTCTTGCAGTCATACTTTTGTCCACGTTCCCTTAAACATTGAGTGAAATAACCTGAAACTACCCTAAACATGTGGACAGCGACAATCTTTGCGTTTCATTTTGAAATCATTTTAACAGTAGCTGAAATAGCATTGAGCAGTTCTAAATGTCCATTTGTCCCGATGTTCACCCTTCCACAGAATTTACACACAGGTAGAGGAACTTTAGAAGTTGATTATTGGAGTATAACCATTTGTTCGATGACGTGCCATCCCGCACTAGCTGGGCTGAGCACGACTTCGATGTAGAGGCTTCGCAGCCTGTCAGCCTTTTAAGTGGTTAAAGTGTTTTTTGAGCTTTTCTCCCCTTCAAATAGGTTGAGTAAAATGCTCTCTCTCTCTCTCTCTCTCTCTCTCTCTCTCTCTCTCTCTATGTCTCTCTCTCTCTGGCTGCGCCGTCAACTGAGCCACCTCTATCAGCTTAACGTGTGCATATTGCTCATTGTGCTTTGAATGCCGTGCATTAGCTTCCCACTGACCTGTGGTTGTTATGTTTTGACGTCGCAGAACAAATCAGCACCATAGACAGCGCCCACCGTTCACGTCAGTCTGACGGCCTACTGGCTTTGTGTCAGTTTTTCGGTAACGTGTTTTATAGTAAACAGTTTTAAACGAGGAAGTATGTGTATTTCAATTATGTGACGTGTTTGGTGCGTGTAGCTTACTAACTGTTGGGCCTGAATGTGAACGCAACATTTTAAACGTTTCCTAATTGAGCTTGGGAATGACTTTCCGATCGTACTGTGTGTGTGTGGTTGTGTGAGTGAGCAATGCTCGATGTAGCACTGTTTGTTTCTTTGTAACGGTCTCTTGGGGGGGATTCAACAACTCCATTGCTGCTGCAAACGGCATTTTAAAAAGGCAGGTGTGTGCGGTTGGAGGAGAAGCATCAGAACAAGAGTAAGGAGCGACTGAGAGTCAGCGAGGAACAAAGAGAGAAGAAGAAGAAACGATGGTTATTATGAGGAAACAGTTATTTGATGTATGGAACGCAGGCGTGAAAGACAGAACCAGCGAAGAGAAGCTGAAGAAGGGTTATTTTTATCTTCCTCCTCTCTCCTGAGAGACTACTGGGAACTGTTTTAATGAGCGAGAGCATGGGGCGCTTACTGGGAAAGAATTTGTTAAGAGACAAGAAGGTGGAGGGAGGGGGAGGCACTGACAGAAGGAGAGGCAGGAGGTGGCAGTGTCTAAAAAGGGGGTGGAGGCTGACGGAGAGAAAGAGACGTAGGAGCCGGGTGAAGTGACAAAAAGGAGCAAAGAAAAAGTGTGACAACTCATCGGTTGTTTGGGTTTAATTGGCCAAGTTCAACCTCTGCATTCCTTGCACTGATTTCTAGGCTGGCCGTTCTGTCCCTAAGCTGCTGAAACGGCAAGCCAGGGTGTGTGTGTGTGTGTGTGTGTGTGTGTGCGCACATTATTCATTCATCAGTTTACTTTAGGCCTTAGGTGTGTTTCAGGGTCGGTCTAAGGCGTTTTAAACATTTGGGGCTTAGCCTAAACACAAGTTATTAATGTCTAATTAAAGTACCGCTACCGATAGAATGTGGTATTTCGTCATTTTGTAATACCTTTCTAGTATTTGTATACCATACAGCAATACTCTGCGGTCATAACACCCTAAAAGATCCCGTTTTTTGGCAAAACATCTCCGGCTGAAGCCCCAGAAACCAACCTGCCACCCTGGTATGCTAGTGTGTAATATAAGTACATTAGTATGCATGACCTTTTTTGTATTTATATGTGCAAGTATAAGTGCACGTTCTGTGTGAGTTTTTTTTGTGGTTGTTACAGCTGACTCAAAGACATTGTTATGCGGCAGGTGAAGCAATTCCGCAGCCAGTAATTCACTGAAACAGTTGCATCATTGAACATCACTTGCTGTTTGCATTGTGTGCTGTTTTGCACTGCGGCACTTCTAATACCGGCATGTCAAAGAGTTTTAACACCATCTATGCAGGGAGAATTGAAGTGTGGTGAAATAATGACTTGTTTTATTTTAATTGGATTGCCTTCTGTAAATGCTGACTGAATGAAAGTTTTATTTGCATTTCAATTGCAAAAAAAACCCTCTAACAACATCAGCAACATCTTGAATCCCTAAAAACTAGAGCCATGAATAGTTAAAAAAAACGGATTAATTTCACATTTTGAAATTCATTAATCATGATTTATTGCTTTGTTGTGTTCATACTTTTCCCTTTAATTGTTTTGGACTTTAAAAAAAAATTGTGATGTATTATAATGCAGTGAATACTCTGAGGTCACCAAACTTAATTTACCCATGAGTTTGGGGTCTGATAATGCAACAGGCCTTTTTCAACGGACGATATGATGAATTTGCATCTTTCCAGTACCAGTATCAGTGCGACCCACCTTACGTACGAGAAGAGAAAAAAAAATCAGGTTTTCTTTGAGGCTGGTCAGAAGACCAACACCGCCGCATAGGCCCTGCGTGCATGTTCGTCTGCAGGAAATCTCTAGCTGGCGGACTGCAAAGGAGCCAGTTTAAGCTCCGCCCTCTGAAGCGCCGAGATCAGAGGAGAGAATAGAGCAAAGACACACAAGACAATAAATAACGGCAAAATGCATATACATTTGTACAGTGCGCAATGTCCGAAGTCTCTTGAATGTCTATTAGAAAGTGAGTTGTGACACCTGTATATGTGTGTGTGTGTGTGTGTGTGTCCGCCATAGTTGACACCTTTAACTGAGCCTTTGCCTCATTTTCCCGATGACATCTTCGACAACTTGACACTGATACAACCAGGGACAAAGAAATGTCTCATCTGTTTTCCCATCAGTTAGCGTGTGGCTTTTATTTATTTATTTAGCTTCTTGCCGCGTGACTCATTAGCCATCTGCTAATTATCGTCACATTGTTTGACATGAAGAACGAAAGCAGACGGAGTTTTGGGAGGCTTGTTTATCCATGCTGTCGCGACTCGAAATAACTACAACCGTACAGCTGAAAAGCAAATAAGAGGGTGCAGCTGCTGCTCTTCTTGCCAAACAGCTCATCACTGTTTCAATAATGAATGTGATTTTCGGTTATTTGGTGCCCCCGAAGGCTCTTAGCCACGCACCCCTCTTCCGCCCTTCGGAGCAGCCGTCGATCTGTCAGGTCCTCGATCCTCGTCTCATCCTGGTTCTCTGTTTCTTCTCCTGTTCTGCCACAGGTGCGTAGCTCACGCTACTCTGTTTTTCTCTTGCCTGACAGCCATCGACAAGAAATTGAGGAGAGAGATGTCAGTGTTGGGGATTGAGAATGAGCTGTTTATCCCCCTTGTCTTTCCCCACAGTTAGGCACTGACAGTTAACATTTACTTAGCATTTACCTCCATGAAAGCTGAAGAGAAAGACTTTGAAACAATTCTCGCTCAAATTGTTTCCCCACTTAAATATTTTGGCAGGAATAGGAGAAAAACATCTGTCATGATACTACGTCAGAACTTCGAAATGATGGGATGTGTTATCGATTTCTCTGCCCAATTTATTTGATTTTCTGTGATCATGAGGCTTCTGTTCATTAATGGAGACTCATAAAACAGATCTCAGTCAACAATATTTGCACACTGCTGTATTTAATGGCGTCCATTACTCCAGACTTTCGTGGTGTCTGACGTGAAAGCATGTATTGTTCTGCAGTTACTGCCCTCACGCGTCAAGACTGAAAGCGTCAAAAAATGGATCGGGTGTATTGTCGTTTTATGGCTGAAAAGACCATTGACCATCACAATGAAACTCATTGCAGGCTCCGTTATTGTTTGTTATTCTGTCCACCAGCTGCTAACCGGGCTGATGTCAACAGACGTTGCACTTTTCCTCCTGACGAAATGTAGCATCATCAGAA